CTCTCTCTCTCTCTCTCTCTCTCTCAATCTACGTCCAAAAGATGGGTTTGAAGACATTAAAGTAGCACAAATGGCAGTATAAAAACTACATCTTGATGTTGTGAGACCATAAACTCACCTGGACTGGCAATCAACAGAGAGATGAGGTTACCATGTTGAAGAAGAATAAAAAAGGACCACAAAATCTCTCCTTTTTGGTCAATATGGATTCTGCGTATTCCAGCCTTCTTCCCTTTATTCCTTCTTCTTTCTTGATCAAACCCCTCAGTCTCTGTAAGAGACCTGTGGAGAAGATGAAGTGCAATAGTAGGATAAATCTAGCCTCGACAACCATGAATCAAGTACACACAACAAAAAAACACGTTCGTTTCCCTACTGTTTGAGAACAATATCGCCGAAATCAGATGAAGTGCTCGTCCTAATCAAGCTGCCATCTTTCTTGCAGGCCAAGCAAATTGAGCACCGGAAGCCGGGAATCCACGCTCAAGATCGCGCCTTTCTGCGAGCCCTGCGGAATCCACAACCGGGCTCGGCGGTGGATGAAGGAGGTGACGCTGCCGCGACCACGTATTTTCCCCTTCCCGGTGCAGTGCGGAGGCTCTGTTTCGTTCTCGATCGTACGCGCACGCTGTGTTTCCTTCTGGGTCGTACAGGTGAGTGAGGCACATGGGGAAGTACGACTCGGCACCGAAATCGGTCACACGGGTGATGACTCGGCCTCTCCATACATGTACCATTATTGACTTTTGACGTAGGTAGGTTTCCAATCTCAGATCACCAAACACGCAAAAGTATCGTCCCATTGGCTTCTAAGCGGGGCCCGTATTGGTAACTGCGGAACCCACAGGTGTCATCCAATGACTGCGTTTGATCACTAGGCCGAAAACCTTCAACTAAATATTCACTTAATTGAAAATATATGGTTCATCGATTACATCACAATTTTACGTGATATAAATAGTAAAATAGCTACTGATAGGAAATTTTATATTCAAATTAAAAATGAAATTAATAGGACTAAATTCACCACTACTCTACTTGTTATCATCCTAAGAATTGATTTATTTTAAGAAAAATAATAATACATATCAAAACCATTAAATCAGATATTATCAAATGAACTCGGAGAGGAGTTCAAGTGGGCCGACCCGCCGAGTCTTCCGACTCGGTCAGCTCGTGGTGAGTCGGATGCCATTTGACATGGGGCCGATGTTGGCGGGGACCTCCGCATCCATTTCTATCCCCTCGCCCTTTTTGTCCTATTCAGTCCTGTCCTCCTTTCGTCGTATAGCTTCGCACAAGTGCCGCGCGGCTCCCACCGGAATGCCCTTTTCATACACACTGCAAGTTTGTATTTAGATGCATAACATCTATTAAAGATAATTAATATCCTATCCATCGTCATTAACTAATCAAGTGAAAAACCTACTCACTAACGCTCTTTCGATCTACCCATTGTTTAAAAAATGTCATTATAATCAGTTGCTCCGAAACCTATAAATAATATTCATCCAAAGTCGATTAATAATATTAAAAATATATGATATTCTCTCAATCATTTTATTAGATTAAATTATAATAAATAATATAAAAATTAATTTATAGATTAAATCTCATATGTGTTATGTTGGAGTTTGACCCGTAGCCTTACTTGAGAAAGATTGTAACGCCCCAATTTAACCCCACATCAAAATGGCATAGACTTGAATTCATATATTAGAGTGTGATAGATGTATTATTATTAATTTAGATTTAAATGTTTTCGGTTTATCGATTTAATAGAGATCATGTCATGACAATAAACACTAAAAATCTTAAACTCACAAATCTACTACTAAAAGCTTCAGACACTCCGGACGTTGACCCTAAAGCTTTTGAGCAAACACCAATGAAACCTAGCAGCCATCAGAAGCTCCCATCATTGCGCTCATCAATGCTAAGAGGCTCCTGATGACGATGACTAAGGTGATGCTGGCGAAGCTTCGTCGAAGATGATAGCCCCCCCAGTTGTCCAAGTTATCCAATGGTGCCGATGAGGATGATGATGACAGACAAACAAGCAAAACATCCACAATGGCATTTGTTTTAGCTGTTCTTGACGCGACAAATCTTGAAAGATCTGAATGAACAAGTTTTTCTTGAAATGCAGATGCATGTCACTGTATATGTCAAGCAACAGAATTAGATCAACAGAGATCAATATGGCTTGCACTCAAAATATCAATGTAGCCAATGGCGATCATACAAGTGACATGTAGAACACATATGAAGCTACCAATATCTAACAAGTAAAGCCAAAGTTTAGGCTGTAATAAGTCAACATGAAGTTTTGAATAAGTTCTTCTACTTATCATTTCTTGTTTTCTAAAAGCAACCAGAAACACATTAAGTCAGAAACATAAGCTCTTAAAATAGCAAGTGAAATCAAGCATATGAGGAATAATCTATTGGTATGAAACCAGTGAAACTTTATACTGATTCAGAAAATTAAGTATATACTATAATATAAATAAAACATGCAGTAGATTTGTTGATAATAGATTTATGCTCGCTCTACTTTGTATAAAAACTGACTTCCATCACGATCTACCATGTATATAACAAGGAACGTTTAGGCTGTAACAAGCCAACATGGAGTTTTCAATGAGTTATCCTATTTTTCATTTCTTGTTCTCTAAGAGCAACCAGAAAGACCTCAAGTCATAAACAAAAGTTATTAACATAGCAAGTGAAATCAAACAAATAGAGGAATACTCTATTTGTATGAAATCAGTGAAACTTTATACAGATTTAGAAAATTAATGTATACACTATAATATTGATAAAACATACAGCAGATTTGTTGATAATAGATTTATTATGCTCGCTCGACTTTGCATAAATATTGGCTTCATCACAATCTACCATATATCTAACAAGGAAAGCCAAAGTTTAGGCTGTAATAAGCCAACATGGAGTTTCCAATGAGTTGTCCTTTTTCTCATTTCTTGTCTTCTAAGAGCAACCAGAAAAGACCTCAAGGCATAAAAACAAACTCTTAAAATAGAAAATGAAACCAAGGAATACTCTATTGGTACAAAACCGGTGAAACTTTTTACTTATTTAGAAAATTTAAGTATAAACTATAATATTGGTAAAACATAGAGTAGACTTGTTGATCACAGATTTATTCTCATTCTAATTTGCATAAAAACAGTTTTCACCTCAATTTATCATAATCAGCCAAAGTTTAGGCCGTAATAAGCCAACATGAAAAAAACAATCCAACATGAAGTTTTCAACGAGTTCTTCTATTTTTCATTTCTTGTATTGTAAGAGCAACCAGAGAAATAAATCATAACAATATATTTATGCTCACTCTACTTTGCTTAAGGACTTCATGTATGAAAATCTAACACTAACCACTGACAATTATTAGAAAAGAACACTACATTTGTTGTAAACTTAGTCACCTGGAGTGGGTTCAATTGACCATCTCCAGCGGTTTAGCTCTATGAAGGTCCATGTTTCCATTAATCCAAAAGACCATTTCTTCGTTCTGGAACATATGAACCTTCACATGCAGAAACCCTCGGTTCTAGCTTAAGACTGGATCTACTATTTTGACCTCAGACCGATCACAAGAGAACCAATCAATACTATCCCAAGGCAAAATGAAATCATAAATTGGTAGCAACCATGAAAGCAGAATTCAACTGAACTTAATCCCGACGATCTCCATTGCCGAAACCTTAACAGAGAAATCCAAATACCAATAGTCAAATTAAAACCAAACTACCAAAGAGATAAGCTACAAATCCTATAAGCCCATAAGTCCAGGAGAAACAAAATAGAGGCAGAAAAAGGCGCTAGATCTCGGCCAGCGTAAACGCGAGTTTGATGAGGAAGAGGAGCGGCAGACCGACCTGAGAGAGAGACCTTCTTCGCCAGAGTTCAAGAGGAGTGACGTAGGCCGAAATGACCAATATATCCTTATATACGACACTTCTTAAGAGACGGATCAGGATTTGAGCGGGGAATGATCCGAATCCGACGGAGATGCCAAGCTCGAGATCCATACTATCGGATTCTTTTGATCTTTTGAAGGCTCAATCTCATGATCCATATATTGGCCGAAATGACCAATATATCTTCCGATCCGCTAGATCGGCCAAAAATTTGGATCCAATATAACTCGCGAATTGCATGAACCATCCTAAACAGAGATTCATTATAAACCAATTTGGATATGTTGCATGTTACAGATGTCAATTAGCACATTCCACGATGTTGTCTAAACAATAGTAACAGTTATGCCGGCTCATAGAAGAATATATATGCAGAAATATTCAATTGAGGTGCTCAACTGACACAAGATTTGGTATAGGAACCTTCAGTTATATCCTACACCAAGTGATTTACTTTTTCTATATGTTATTGCAGTCTGATGGAGAAAAAATAAGCATGGAAGCACCTGTTCCCTTGCCATGAGAATTAAACCTGTGAGCACAAGGTGATTGCCGTATCTTTTGATATAACAATGTCAAGCGCTAGTCGGATAGATCGAGTTCTCTTCTGCTCTTGATGACAGCTCTTTTCCTTGTATCGAGATCAATTATCTCAAGATCTGATGTGGTTGCCAGATAACCGAAGAAGATCTTCTCACCAATCGTCCCATCAGCCCTGACCAGTGAAGGGTCCTTCTCATCATCACCGAACTGAGAACCTTGCGCATGTGCCCAACCTTTGCGTCCACAGTTGTCCTTCTCGAAGTACCATGCCAGTCGCTCAGCCTCCTTCATCCCAGCTCGAGTGTTTGCGAATTTCACGACTGTGATACCTGTGTGGCCCTCTTTTCCATAGATTGACTTTGACTTGCCACCGCCAAAGCCTAAATCTGAAAACAAACCCAAAAATATGAAACAACACGATAATATGATAATTAGTGACTAAGTGCACACAAAAACACTATTCATCCTTTTACATAGAAATTATAGGTGTTCTGTGCTCCTCCTATTGAAGATTAAAACGTTCTGGGCAGTTAAATACTCATCTTACAAAGTTCGTAATATGTAATCACCAGATAACTAGCACTCTAAGTGGGCGGTGAAAGGTGATTTCATGGTAAATGTCAACAGAGGGTTGTGTGGATTTTCTTGCTAATATCAAGAAGGAACACAAAGATGTTTCAGTGAAAATGATATGTAGGTAAACAGATCTAACATATCTCGGAAAAAGGGGAAATTTTTCCTTGTACATAGTTGGACCATATATTGTCTATATCATAATTATGTATACACATGTAATGATGATATTCACATTAGGAAGAAAATTAGGGGGAAAGGATTCTATCATGCAAACACACTGCCAGCTAATCTGACTTTTAAAATCTCTATGTAATTACATGGTCACTATCGCATCAACATCCAATGCTACTTCACTGGAGATAAAAATCAGATTTGTTGTTTCAGGGGTCTGAGTAACAGGATGCAATAGGTGAAGCAAAAGCAGAAGAGACCAGTAAACCACAATTACGAAATCTACTGTTGAAAGGGACACAAATTATACAACCATTTAACGTTTACTGGCCCATGTTATTCAGAAGCGGCTACGAAACCAAGATACTAACTGAATACATCCATGGACTGACTAGGAGTGTTTTGCAGACTAGATGAACACTAGTTTCTGGTCATTGCTTGTCTTATATGATTTGTGCCATACATGAACAGAAAAACAACATCAAATTTATTAGAGGTGTGATCTACAATATTATTAGACCAATACCCAATTCATCAGAAGTGTCAGTGTTCTTTAGCATAATAACTTGTCCCTAGGAGAGATATCTGCTAGCATCCATATACAAATACAATATGCCATTAACCAGTTTGTTCCTTTATCTTTGATAAATCACCCTTATCATAGATAAGTCTCAAGTATCAACATTAACATGCATGCATGTTCATTCTTTTAATATCTCAAGACAATGGCTCACAGGATGTCATGCAAGAAATAATCTAAATTTAAATACAAAGCTTAACATCCAAAGCAGCACATATGACAACCACAGTTCATTTTGGTGATTATTCAAGCACCCTGCGCTACACTATACTACACTACACACTGCACATCCACAGTAAGCAAAATCAAACTCTAAGTCCAGTGCTGGGATAGCAAGAAGAAAAAGAACATCCTCATTTACCAAGGTTTGTAATACTACTCTATGATCAGTGAAAAAACCTATGAAGAACAGAAATTAGAAGATATTCATTGAACAAATCACATCAATTAATATCAGATCAAGGACATGATGATAAAAAACAAGGCTCATAAAATAGATGCATGTCAGCTCATGACAGACAAGGCTATTTTGACATTAGACATCAAATTTATTGTTGCGTTAGTACACAACTAAAATACAGCATACATGACATTCATAACAGAATTTGACAATTGCATTATACTATAAGCTACATATCAGCATTTTCATAGTGGTGGGGAGAGAAGACCCATACCCACAAAAACCTCCCTTCCCTCTGACCATGAGGCTAACTAAAAGGCCAGCTACCACAAAGATCTTATTTTTGTTAAGAAAATTCCAACAGAGATAACTTATTTCACCCATTTAAGGCCCCTTTGTAGAAGGCTCAAATTAAAAAGTCATAATAATAGCAACTCTATCTTATCAAACAGCATGTTTAGTCTCATGTTGAGGACATTATATGTGCACAATTTCTCTGTAAACAGGTCACTCACTCCCAAATGGACCAGAACCTAGAAGGAATACAACTTAGGCATAAAAGTTAATTGATAAGACCTTTAATCCAAATAGTAAAGCTAACTTTTTAAGTTTAAACCTCTGCTTACTTAAATCATTACCTGAGGAGACATAATTTGTTTTATAGAGTATACTAATGTCAGATGTGACAACATATGAAATTCAATAAGAAACCAAGACATAATAATTTGATCATTTATGAGTTTACTCAAGCTTGCCCTGCACAACAAACACTTCACACAATCAGATATCAAATGTGAACACTAAAAAGGAGAAATAATCATAACTTCCAGGCACAATTTAATAAAATTCACCAATTAGTTGAAATCACTTCGGCCTCCGATGTTGCCACAGCAGCAAATAACTTAAGATCCAGAAAAGTTGATTTTTAGTTTAGTGCTCAGCACCAAACTATAGCATCAGGGTTCGACCGAGCTTCATGTGATAGGAATTGTGCTCTGCGGAACTCAAGATCAGAATTTCCTGAATTGTCTAAGATCAAGGAATTGAGTTTCTCAGAAACAATCAACAATTTGTTAGAACCTACTAAAAGTCAAAAGGGATAGCCTCAAGTTCAATCAGGATAAGCCAGTAAATGACTGTCATTCAGAACTTGGTCAGAACCACTTATAGTTGGTCAACATCTAGACTAGAAGCTGATAAAACATGTTGCAGTTACTGAAATATTTCAAACTGAACTAGGTGAAGGGTCTCGAATCAGTAAGAACCAGATAGTAAACAATTGATTATTGTCATAATCAAGGGCTAATAAAACATAAGATGGTCCACCTGATCTCTTCAGAAAATAGAGGATTTCACATGTGAGACAAAGTTGATCACAATGCATATTGGTGGAGTCTACCAACCCTACAAACCATGGGTCAGACAGACTTAACAGGATCAGCCAAATCAAATTGTTCGGTTGGAATTTGCAACAGTTTACCCAGATTGACTGGGAACACCTCGAATAGATAAAGTCTATCGATCGTGGATCAACAGGGATATGCTATGTTAGCTGCAATCAGCTAGAATCTTGTATGAAAAATGTACAATCATTTAAAATCAATAGAAAATCAGCAAGATAAACCAAAATTGGACTATGATTTAGTAAAACTTAGCTGAAATCAGTTAAACACTAATTGTTGGGGTCAATCAGGATTCAGGACCACAGTTTTTATCAATCCTTAAAATGAAGATCAACATCCTGAAGAATATAGGCTTTGAGACTAAATTGAGACCATTTTTTCCAAACCTTCAGCCTGAGATAGCCTAGGCATTGAGATCAATCCATTCAACAACAGACGGAGAAGATAGAAAATAAGCATAAAGGATATCCTCCTATATATTGTGCTTAATTTGATACCGTGATATCTAAAGCACGAGAAAGTCTCCACTTTACAACTAGACCTACTACCCTGAGCTATGTAGGTCTGAACCAAGAGGAACCAAACTAAAGAAACTATGTATGTGTGATCCTTAAAAACAAGTCGTATCATAGGCATCGATGAACACATTCAAACTATATCTATATCGGACTGCCTACTGATTCATGTTGCACATGGGTCCTCTACTTAAAGATAGCAGCAGTGGCTCTTAACAGAGGTTACAAAGGCAATATGAAGAATAACATTGTACTAAAATGTGTCTAGAAAGCTGGTCAGTCATGCAGATTCTCAAGAAGAGAAAGTAGAGTACATTTATCCCAAGATAATTCCAATCCTTGGGATTTGGAAGTGCACCAGCCAACCAATACAGAGGGAAGTGAATGATATTGATTATGGAATTAAATACTTTCCCTTATCAACTGTAAAAAAGACTTAATTGCTGGTGCTTCTACCAGAATATTATGAAACCAGGGCATACCATCCTTACCATATGATTTGCACTGGTACACTACTAAAATAATATTTAATATGTCGGTAGCAAGTACCAACCAATGTCATCCATATATCTTCATACCTGTAAAATACCGGACTAGTGTGGTACAAACCATAAACCCCGTATCTGAAGCTGTGGACCATAGAATAGACCAATCCGACAAGGTACAAGGTATAGGTACATGGGTGAACCAATGATATGGATAATTACCAACATTTAAAACAATCTTTTAATTTTTTTAGTTGTGTACTGCACAGTACCTGTCCAATAGGCATATCTATCCAATAATATTATGCGGCATGTACTAATACTAGAATATGAATCTCTGACACTGGTTACAAAATGTAAGTCACTATGAAATCAGAAGGAATTAGAAACTAAAGGGACCTTGTTTATAGTCTGGGCCTTCTTTTGCAGATATTCAATGATGCTCAAGAATTAGTTCTAGTGCTATATGTTAACCAAAAGAAAACAAAACAAATGCCTTGACAGAAGGAGCAATCATGAAAAATTGATGGGTCATGACGTTTACTAAAACAATTATAGAATGGAAGCAGGGAGGAAACCAAAGTGTGGCTTAGTAAGATAGATACAACATTATGAGAAACCAGCTCAAGAGGATGATAATGACAAGAAAAAAGAAGTATCCTGGCAACAAGTCAGCAAAATACCAAATAACAAGAATAAGACAATGACTCATCTTCAAAAACAGAAAGAACTAAGAATAAATTTGGAACAGAACAACTACCAAATATAACTCATCTGAACAAGCCAGAAAAATTCATGCCTTGAACAGATAGTAGGGTGGCACCAATATTTGAGCAAACAAGATAGGCATGGAAGATATGTAGGTTGCAACTATGATTCTTTGTCAAATTCAATATTGCAATCAATAAAATTAAAAGAGAATAATGACTGGGTAAACATATGTACCTTTAAGTCTATTATCCATCTCTCTATTACTCATACCCTCAACGCGACCATGTTTTCTCATTCCTGAACTTGTATTATGAATTATCACTGTTGGGGGCCATATGATAAGGTCTTCCCTGTTTGCTTGAGCATCACCAGCAGATACTAATTGATATGACTTGGAGTTTTCAGGGGTCCTTGAATAATTCCATCCCATAAGAACACACAAGGCTTTATGTAACCCAAGATGATCAACACGCAAGTTGGCATTTTGTGAGCTGTATGTGTGCATGATAACCCCATGCACATCAGCAAAATCCTTAGAGGCCCTGTAATTGTGCAAACCAAGGACACTGAATCAAAAAACAAAAACCATCCCCTAAGAAGCTAGAACAATAAAATTATAAACCAAAAGTTAATACGTAGCACTAGCTACTAGTTGAAAAGAATCATATCCTATCCTGAAAGATATTAGTCATAAAAGGTTTCACAAGATCATCAGTCATTGCTACATCACCCTTAATCTTAACCCAATTTGCTATCAAAACAAGCATGGAAAACCAATTACCCAAATTGACCACAAAACAGAAAAACATAGTTGGTTCTTCAATTCCAATCACAAACAGAAAACCAAAAAAAAAAAAAGTTAGTCGATATAACCATTCCGAAAATATAGCTCCCTCCAATAGATGAATACAAGAATATGCATGAGCATGCTGAACAATTGCAATGAAGAATTTAATTCTTGGTCCAATACCAATCTTGGTAACCAGTTAGGGCTGGTTCTAGCATGCCCAATAATAGTAACTGTTTACCAACCCATATGACCTGTTATCACCAATAAAATAATAAAAGGTGTAGCTATCTATATGGTCAAGCACTGGTCCTCGATCGGATTAGTAAATACCAATTTGCACCAATTGGTGCAACCAAAATTTGATTTCTTGGATGTAACTATGTGACAACTACAAAATCACAAGAAGAACTTCAGAGGTATTCATTTCATGACAACCTCAAAAGATTTGCTACTAATAACCAGCACTAAAATGTAGATTTAAGCAGCATCAACGGAAGTACCATCCTAAATGTTCAGTCCAAATAGGCTACTTAAAAAGAAAATTAATCATTTGATTTGAAGCACAAAAGCTCTACATAAATCAATGTCCATTGAGAAAAGAAAACATCAATTATGTTTGTCCTTTCTTATACAAAGGAAAGGAAGCACAAACAGTGATTTCAATAGGCGCTCAGGCGAGGCGAGGCGAGGCCCAAGTGCCTCGCTTCATTTCCAGGCAGCACACTTCAAAGAGGCGCCGCTTGGGCGCTCGCCCAAGCCCAAGCGACAGGCGCTTCGGGCGAGCAACTGGGTTAAACCAGGCGACGGAACCAGCGTTTTAGGTCTGGTTCGGTCTCTGGTGCTTTAGTTGGTTCAATCGAACCAGCTAAAGCACCGATATCAGCGCGACTTCCTCAACCCTAACCCTGCTCGTCGTTCACGCTACCGCTGTCGTTGCTTGCTGCCACTGTAGCCGCTCCCACTGCCGCTGCTCGCTGCTATCATTGCCACTGTCTCCGCTCGACACTCCCACTACTCGCTACTATCACTGCCATTGTCGTCGCTTACCACTCTCGCTGTCGCTGCTGCTGCTCGCTGCTACCGCTGCCACTGTTGCTGCTCCCGTTGCTCACTGCTACCGCTACTGCTGCCACTGTCGCCGCTCCCGCTGCTCACTGCTACCGCAGTCGTTGCCACTGTCGTCGCTCGCCGCTGCCACTCCCGTTTTTCTCAGTCAGCACCCTCGGTCTTCCCTTTCACTCTTCTCTTCTCTTTCGTTAGTATATTGTTAACAGTATACTAGTAACACTATTTATATTTATTAGATTAATAATATATTATTTTAATTTTAATACTGGTAATTTTTATTTATTTAAAATTATTGTTAGGTTTCAGGATAAATGGCAAGTGTACAGAGCAATTCAATAGAGTCTCCAATGGCATCAAAAAAAGATCCTACATGGAAGTATAATTATCTAAAGGATTCGAAAGATCCTAATGTAATGACTTGTATGTTCTACGATGAGACTATTAGAGGTAGTATTTTTTGTGCAAAACATCTAGTAGAAAATTTCAAGAATGCAACAGCTTGCAAAAAGTATCCACCTGAGGTAAAAGAAGAATTGTTGAGTTATATGAATGAAAAGAATACGCAAAAAAATGAATCTTACAAGAATTTACCAAAAGACAATGTTGAACATCTCAGGGATGACGAAGATTATTCTATGAGTATTAACCCAAGTGGGAAAAAAGTATACGACAAAAAAGGAAAAGAGTACTAAAAAGGAGAAAAAAGGACCGATAGATCTATATATGTTTCAAGAATCACAAAAGCAACAAAGGCAAGCAGGAGACTCAAAATTTAGACAAACAAATATAAGTGATGCTTGTGATAAAGAAATAAGAGGAAGAATAATTCAGCACATTGTTCGCTTCTTCTATCAAACTGGTCTTCCCCTTAGTACAACTCGTTTAGACAGTTTTAAGGAAATGATTGAATCTATTGGAAGATATGATGCGGGATTAAAACCTTCAAATTATTATGAGATGCGAGTTCTATTATTGCAAAAAGAGTTGAATAATACAAATGACTTACTAAAGGGTCAATAAATAATCATGGGCAACACATGGTTACTATATTATGTCAAATGTTTGGACTGACAGGAGGAACAGGAGTATAATTAAATTTATGGTTAACTATTCTTTATGGACTATGTTTGTGAAGTCAATAGATGCTTCATCCTTTGTAAAATCTGGAGACAAGATATATGATTTACTTGACAAGTTCGTGGAAGAAATTAGAGAACAAAATGTTGTTCAAATCATAACCGACAATATAAGCAACTATGTATTAGCCGATAATATTCATCTTTTGAATTTTTTTTAATTTTTTAATTATTTTATCTTTGATTAAATGTGTTAAACTCTTAAGTCTTATCATTTTCGTTATCCTTTGTCTCAGGTAAATTGCTTGAAACAAAAAGATAACACTTATATTGGACTCCATGTGCGGCACATTGTATTGATTTAATGTTAGAGGATATTGGAAAGATCTTAGACATTAATAAAACCATAGAAAGAGTAATTTTTATTGTTGGATTTCTTTATAATTATATTGGAGCGTTGAATATGATGAGAAAATTCACAGGGAACAAAGAATTAGTGAGATATGATATCACCCGATTTGCTATTTCATTTTTAACATTACAGAACGTGCATCGTCAAAAACATAATCTGAGAAACATGTTTACCTCTGAGAAATGGGTGACAAACAAATAGGCAAAAGAAGCAAAAGGTAAGAGGGCTACTGATATCATCTTAATGCCATCGTTTTAGAATCATATAGTTTATATATTAAAGGTAATGGGCCCTCTTGTTCAAGTCCTTCGGTTGGTGGATAATGAAAATTAGCCTGCAATGGGATATATTTATGAGGCTATGGATAGATCAAGGTATGCAATACCGTACCGTACCGATGTTTTGAGGTTGGCTCGGTACGGTACGATACCGGTGTACCGAGCGGTACACCAGGGCGTACCGAGCGATATACCCTGGTGTACCGAACAATTTTATATATTTTCTTCATTACTCTTTAAAAGAAAATGAAAAGGAAGGAGGAATCTAATTTAAGGATTCATTACTTCCAGCCACTACATCAGGCCAGAAATTATATGTAATAGCGCCTTCATATAATCCTTGTGACAATTTGCAAAACAGACAATAATACACTATTCAGATAGTCCAGTTCACAATCAAAAGTTAAAAAAGGACAAGCATATAAACAGGTGGTCAAATTTCTTTATCAAGCACAATGAACTAGGAGAGAAATCAATCATCAAATAACAGTCTTAGATTCTGGACAGTAATAATGCAGATCCAAATATTCACTTAGTTAGTAATAATGCAGATTCTGGACAAAATCAAGTTTTATAAAGAAAATGATGGCAATACTAAAGCCTCAAAGTCGTAAATAATTACACAATTGGTCCCAAAATTTTGGAAAACCAAAAATCAATATAAATTATAAAGTCATAAATTATAAAGTCGTAAATAATTACACAATTGGTCTCAAAGCTTTCCAATTTTCATGGCCAACAATCAGCATATCATCAACATATAGCAGTAAAATAATAAAATCTTCATAAACACACAATAATCAGATGTGATTCTATCATACCCTTGGCTCATCATAAAGGAATCAAACTTCTTATACCATTGTCTAGGTGCCTGTTTGAGTCCATATAAGCTTTTCTTAAGCTTACATACCAGATTTTCTTTTCCCTTGACTTTGAAATCTTCTGGTTGCTCCATGTAAATTTCTTCTTCTAAGTCACCATGAAGAAATGTTGTTTTCACATCAAGTTGCTCAACTTCTAAATTCAAGCGGGCAGCCAAACCAAGAACAACTCGGATAGAGGACATTTTTACAACCGGAGAAAATATTTCTTCAAAATCAATATCCTTCTTCTGACTGAATCCTTTCACAACTAGTCGTACCTTGTATCTCTGTTGTGAGCTATTATTTTCAGTCTTCAATTTATAAACTCACTTATTCTTGAGAGCTTTCTTCTCTTTAGGCAATCTTACCAAGTCATAGGTATGGTTCTCAAGCAAGGATCTCATCTCTTTTTGCATGACTTTAACCCACTCATTCTTATTCTCATGTAGAATAGCTTCTTGGTAAGTTTCTGGCTCTCCCCCGTCAGTAAGCATAACATACTCATGTGGAGGATAACTGGTAGAGGGTTGTCGCTCTCTAGTGGATCTTCTCAATGGAATCTCAACTAGTGGTGGAGGTGCCTGTTCAGTTGGTTCAGCATCATCAACTGCAGGTGTATCATCACTGGTATTCTCACCATAATCTTCTTGT